GCCACGCAGCCATCCCGTGGGTCTGCCAGCTCCATTCTCCGCTCTCCTCTCTCTTCTCTCCTCCCTCCTCCCTCCTCCCTCCTCTCTCCTCCCTCCTCCTTTCTCTCTCCACTGTCCTTCCTCCTCCTTTCTCCCTCCTCCTTCCTTTCTCCTCCCTCCTCCTTCCTCCCTCCTCCCTTCTTTATTTTTTATTTTATAAATATATATTATTGATTTTTTACAGAGAGGAAGGGAGAGAGATAGAGAGCCAGAAACGTCAATGACAGAGAAACATCAACCAGCTGCCTCTTGCACAACCCTCACTGGGGATGTGCCCGCAACCAAGGTACATGCCCTTGACCAGAATTGAACCTGGGACCTTTGAGTCCGCAGACCAATGCTCTACCACTGAGCCAAACCGGTTTCGGCCCTCCTCCCTTCTCCTTCCTCCCTCCTCCATTCTCCCTCCTCTCTCCTCTCTCCTCTTTCCTCTCTCCTCCCTCCTCCCTCCTTTCTCATCTCTCCTCCCTCATCCCTCCTCTCTCCACTCTCCGCTCTCCACAGCTGGTGCCCAGACCCTCATGTCCCCTCCATCGTCACAGACCTCCATGCCCCCACGTCCCCTCCATCATCACAGACCCTCATGTCCCCTCCATCGTCATAGACTCTCATGTCTCCTCCATCGTCACAGACCTCCATGTCCCCTCCATCGTCACAGACCCTCATGTCCCCTCCATCGTCATAGACTCTCATGTCTCCTCCATCGTCACAGACCCTCACGTCCGCTCCATCGTCACAGACCTCCATGTCCCCTCCATCGTCACAGACCCTCATGTCCCCTCCATCGTCACAGACCCTCAAGTCCCCTCCATCGTCACAGACCCTCACGTCCTGTGTGAAGTTGCCAGGCCGGGACTCAAAGAGCACCAGATGCTGTTGAATGAATGAATGAATGAATGAATGAATGAATGAATGGTTTAAAACCTCACATTCATACAATGCACTCTCCCCCCAGCTGGAGATTATTATTCCTAACAGACAGAAAGTCACAGCACATGTGTAAGGAAAGGAGAATAAAGTACATGCTTTTTTGTTTCAGAAAGAGCAGCCAGGGAAGTAAAGGATGTAGGAAAAATGATTTATGCCTCATCAGAGAGGAGGCTGGCCCTGAAACTGTGGTACCTTCATTCCAGAGGTTTCTCTTTACCTAGTGTAGTAAGAAACCTTTTATATGACCCATGAAGGAGCTGTGTCTGCCATGTCCCTAGCCAGCCTTCACCCTGTCACTCTGCAGCCAGAAAAGAGGATGAGCCCTTCACCCTGGACGATGCCACCTCCCAGCCCTCTGGGTCACCCAGGGCCTGAGTGAGGCCCGGGGACAGCACACAGGGAACCAGAGCCACTCAACCTGCATGAGGCTTCGGGGAGAAGAGGGCTGGAGCAGAGCTGTGTGGCTGGCCTTGGAGGGGACAGAGGTTTGGGGGGGCTGGGGGCAAGAGGAAGTTAGATTTGGGGTCGGGTTGTGGACTGGATCTTCTCCATTATTTTCCAAACAATGCAAGTCGTCTCTGGGATTCCCCTTTAATTGCCATTGCCACCTGGATGTCTGGGAGCCACGCCTGGGCCTGCAGTGGAACAGAGCGGTGTGGGACCCTCCAGCTACAGCCCTCCAGGCAGTCAGGGCGGCTTTCCCAGCTCCCATCACCGTCCTCTCGTTCCCCAGGCACGGTCAGAAAGACTGCAGGAACAGCCGCAATGACACGCCTGGAGACGCTCTGACAGTTAGAAACCCACGTTCCAAGCAAAAAGCTAATTCGTACGCATTTATCAGCCTGTGGCTCAGACAGCCTGGTGGCTGCAAACTTACACTGTGCTGTCCGGGCCAGCAGGCAGCGGGAACACACACGTCCAGTTTCACCCCTGGACAAAGACAGGCATATGGTTTCGTAAGTGAAGCGAGAGCAAAGAACAAGAAGGGGTGCTTTGGAAGCGCCACCAAACAGCCCACACACGGTGGCCCCAGCCACACCCAGGAGTGGGAACCCACTGGTTCACCCGTGGGGCCTGGTCACCAAGTCCCCAGACCTTAGACTCCTCTCCACGGGAGACTCAGGGTCTGGGTGGGGCGAAAGCCCTGCTCTGAATGTTTGGGTGCCCCTAACACTCACGTTAGAGCCCTGCCCCATGCACTGGCAGCTAGATGAGGCCCTGAGGTGTGGCCCAGTGATGGGGTTGAGCCTGGTAAGATGCCAGCTCCCTCACGGAAGGTGGCCGTCTGCAAGCAGGAAAGAGCCCTCCCCAGAATCCACCCTACTGGCACCTCAGTCTTGGCCTTCAGCCTCCAGAGCTGAGAGATCAGCCACACGTGTCCCAAGCTCACCACTGCACTGAGAGTCGTGGGGGGGGGGGGGGGGGCGGGATGGCGAGAGCCTAGGCTCCTGGTGAAGGTGCAGGTGAAGGTGGTGATCAGAGGCCTGAGGCCTCAGTGCTGAGACACCACAGGGCTTCCCCGTGGCCGCCATGTCCTGCAGCAGCCAGTGACATCCACCCCTGAAAGCAAGCTGAACATGCTCTGCCTGAAATTAAGAAAAACTATGTGTCGGAAATGTATTCTGTTAACAATAATGTTGGGGACACATCTCCCTCGGCCTGGGCCGGCCCTGGGGGAGGGGTATGTGCCAGCAGGGCTGGCGTGGCTGTGAGAGGCTCCGCCCAGCCTCAGCCCGGCAGGTGCTTGAGCACCAGTCCCTCCAGCCACCGAGTCCGCATGGGTCTTGGGCTCCCGCGAGGCAGCTCAGCTAGAGCATGTTTATCAGGAAGGATGCATCCAGTCTTCAAGAAGTCTGTGGCTGTGGTTTCTCTCCCCCTCTCTCCCTCTCTCTCTCCCCCCCCCTCCCTCTCTCTCTCTCTCTCTCTCTCTCTCTCTCTCTCACACACACACACACACACACACACACACACACACACACACGGTTTGTGGACTTTCCATCTGCAAAAGATAACCCCTCTCCCCCAGAGACTGTGTGATTAAAAATATTGTAATTAGCCCTGGCCAGTGTTGCTCAGTGGTTATAGCATCAGCCCTGGCACTGAAGGGCTGAGGGCTTGATTCCCAGTCAAGGGTATGTACCTGTGTTGCAGGTTCGATCCTAGACTGCCTTGGGTGCATGCAGGAGGCAACCAATCCATGCATCTCTCTCACGTCCATGTCTCTCCCACCCCCGCCCTTTCTCTCTCTCTCCTTCCCTCTACTCTCTCTAAAAAAGAAAAAAAAAATCAACAAAAAAATGTCCTCAGATGAGGATTAACTAAAAATATATGTATATATACCATCATTGGACTGTGTTTTTATCAAAAAAATAGATATGGTAACCACATGACAGGATGGAGTATTAGCCGAGCTGTGTGGTCCTCATTTGTCATTTATGCATGCATCAAATCAACAACTGTACACCTAAACTTATACCATGTTAGTTACAACTCAGTGAAGCTGGAGAAAACACCTCAATTAAGTGAGTATTGTTTTAGGGAAGAACTACATTCCCCCGTGCTTTATTTCTGGGGCAAATGATGACCAGATTAACTCCATTGGCTACTCCATCCGTTAGTCAATCCCTGGAACCCGAGGAGAGGACAGCCATGGAGCCTCCCCAAACCCCCCCTCAATTCCTCTCTATCCCCCCCCGCCCCTCCCCGAGCTCTGGTTAGGCCAACAATGCAGCCTTCCCCGCCAGGGATCAGTCCTCACTTCTGGGTTTCCCAAGGCTCAACACCTTCTTTCCTCTGCCCCACACTCTCCACAGGCCCATAGGGGAGTCTCTGGATGCCAGCCGGGGGACCAGGCTCAGGGGCTGCGGGGGACGGCTGGGGAGTGTGGGCATCTCCTGGTCCCCTCACCCAGATCACGGTGCAGCTGGAAAGGAGCAAAGGGTCTGGCCTGGCCTCAAAGCAAGCTGCCCAGCGAGGGGGGCAGGACCGGCTGCAAACTGGAACCTGGTGCCTCCCCTCTTGCTATTTTCTTTTTTTAAGAAACAGAGTTTACATGAACTTTATCGTTGTTTTTAATTTATTTTTTAATATATTTTATTGATTTTTTACAGAAAGGAAGGGAGAGGGATAGAGAGCTAGAAACATCGATGAGAGGGAAACATTGATCAGCTGCCTCCTGCACACCCCCTACTGGGGATGTTCCCACAAGCAAGGTACATGCCCTTGACTAGAATCGAACCTGGGACCTTTCCGACGCTCTATCCACTGAGCCAAACCAGTTTCAGGTGTTTTTAATTTATTGATTAAGAGAGGATGGGGTGGGAGGGAAGAAGGGAGAGAGAGAGATTTGTTGCTCCTCTTACTTCCAAGCTCACGGGTCACTTCTTGTATGTGCTCTGACCCACCGCTCCCAGCCAGGGGCCTCCAGCTGCTTCTGACCTGCGTGGGCCGAGCACCGGCTACCTCAGCATCCTTTAGGACCAGCGAGCTTTGGTCTTGACGATGGGACTACACAGTCTCGAAATTTTCACTTCTTTATTAAAAATAAATGTGAGCACAAAAACAAAGAGAAGAAAACATTGCAAAAAGACTCAACATTGAAAAGCACTTCTTGGGGCACAGACGCAATGTTTCTCTCAGGCTCTCCTCCTCAGGGCACACGGTGAGGGAGGAGAAATGGGGCCCCCGCGAGCAGGTGTGTTTATTAAAGCACAAATTCTGCACACGTTAGTAATAAATGCAGTCGTGAAAGCTTATCCTTACAATAAGTAGAGCTTCAGAAAACATATCAGCTAATGCATTACATGAAGAGCCTGCATCGATACATGCTTTGCAAAGATTTCCAGCAGCTCAGTGCCAACACAGTCCATCGCCCGTGGAGGAGTGTGGGCATCTCCTGCTAAGAAAGTGAGACCAGCTGGGGCCTCGGGGAGCCAGGTCAGGGCCAGGCAGCACAGCGTGCTTCCACTGACACCCCAAACCCCCGTTCTCCCCAGTGCTTGCAGCAGCACCGGGTTCCACTCCTGCCCGTGTCACCCGGAGAAGTTCTGGAAGACTTCGGCAGCCTCCACCCAGCTTTGGAAGCAGGCCCGCCCCTGCTCCCGGATCTGTCTGCGCCCTTTGTCGGTGATGACCTCCCCACTGGGCTTCAGGATCACAAGCCTGGGGGTGGCTGTGATGCGGTACCTGGTCCTGAGCTCACTGCGAAGAGAAGGGTGCAGGCCGGGGGTCAGCGGGGGGGGGGGGGGGGGGGGAGCCGCTGCCACACCCTCTACAGAGACCATGTGTTCCCAGCCACGGCCTTAGAGCCAAGCCTGCCGGTCCGTGAACCTCATCCCTTACTGCATCGCCCCCGCAGCCTCCCCCGCCCCCGGCACAGACACAGCATGGCTGCTGTGCCTTCCCTCTTAGTTCATTTTAATTTAAATGTAAAGACCACGTGTTGCTCATGGCTATTTTACTACACAGTGCAGCTCTAAACCACAAAAACCCAATACAGTCATATGCTCTCCGCATCCCAGGAGGCTGACATATCAGGTGGACAGGGTGATAAAGGTTGAAGTTCTGAGTCCTAAGGCGCAGCCTTGCCCGGCTTTCTGCCCTCCCCATGCAGGGGCACACTGACACTGTGGATGAGACCTCTCGGCTCCTTTCCCCCCGTGTGTGGTCCCATAGAAGTTCGCACTCATTTAGGGAAAGGAGCATCGTCCTTAGTTTTCCAAATCTCCCCACACCCTTACCAGGGTTCTGCCCTCAGAACAGGACAGCTGGTGGCAATCCCTCCAGTGCCCTGGACCAGCTCACAAGAGCCTCACATCACCAGCAATCAATTGCCCCATCTTCCTGGAGCAGCGGTGCCTCTGAGAATGGGATCCCTGCATCCTTCTCCCACTTCTCTCCCCCAATCCCCATCACCACACACATCCTTCAAATCCATCAGGGTGTAGTCTCCCGCCCCTGGGGGTGGAGCCCACTTAACCAAGTTGGCCAACCCCCAACGCCTTCATCACCCTTCCAGGGCCCAGCAGCGGGACTGAAGGGAAGAGCAGGTGGTGCCCTAGACAGCTAGGGTAGCAGAGGCCCGTGGGCTTGCTGCTCAGCCCCCCTGACCCTCCTGGTACACAAAATGGCATTAACTAGCTGTGTGGCCTGAGCACACTAGTTAACCTCTGTACTGAGGATTAACAGAACCCACCTCCCAGAGTGTGAAGATTAATGATGAATATGCACTTAACTCAGCTAAGGGCTTGGTGCACAGAGTGGACAAAAACGGGCCCGTACTAAACCTGACAAGCGGGGGGGGGGGGGGGGGGGGGGGGGGGGCTGCATGGCGGCCTTACAAACTCAGACCTGAAGTTACCACATGGGATGGTCTGAAAGGAAAGCTTCTTCGCTAAAATGGAGTCATGCTGTGACCAGTGTGGCTCAACTGGTAGAGCTTCATTCAGAGCTGAAACTCTGCGGCTTCCAGCTCAGATCAGGGCATGTATGGGAAGCAACCCATTGATATTTCTCTGTCTCTCCCTCCCTCCCTCTCTCTAACATTAATTAAAAACATATATATCCTCAGGTGAGGATGTGAAAGAAAGATCAAGTCCTGGCAGGTAGTCAAGTGCTAGGCCGGTATCTACCTTGACAAAGGTCAAGGCTGAGCTTTGGAACGAGTAACCCTCTGTCCAGACCCCTCAGGACACAACCCCCCAGCACAGGCAGAGACCACAAGCCCCCTCGTTATTATCAGGACCTGTTGTTAACTGTCCTGTACCTGTCTGTGTAAAAGATGTGCCTGTTCCTTTCATTTTCATCCAGCCCCAGAGATTTCCCTGCCTTGCTTCCTCCTGCCTCCCTCGTCTATCACCAATGAATTCCATGTGGCCCCCTTACCACTGCCCCCCCCCTGATTCCGATGTATAAAAGATAACTGGGAAAACTGTCATCTTCTGAAGCATTTCCTCAATCCACTGAGATTTTGCTTCCCAGCAATTGTCATCATTTTTGCTCAAATTAACACATAAAAATTCTTACAGGTTGGGACTTATGCTGACAATAAACGCTGGCTATTCTGACTGGGTGGATGGACAGAGCCCAATTCCAGCTGGGCCAGGTGCCCAGTCTCGGCCCTTGGCTATACCAACCAGCATGGAATGGGAAATAAGCAGACTGGAACCAGTCACCCTGTGGAGCATGGGAGAGAGGAAGGTGCAAGAAGGTGCAGCCCAGGACTCCACAGCCTCTTATCACCAGGAGACTGGATGGGGCAGGGGCCACACAGACAGCGAAGGCAGAGCCAGGGAGTTGCCCCTCAAGGGCTCCCTCCCCCAGACCAGCCCGGCCTGCGGGGTTCCAGCTAGATGAATCCATAACCTTCCTTTGTTTCCCCTTCGATTTGCTGCCGTGGTTTCAATCATGGGCAACATTAAATCCAGTTGACACAGAAAATGGGCTCTGAGGAGCAAGGAGGAGGCTTGGAATAGACATTCTGTTTCTCTGGCTTATCCTGAAAGAGCACAGTGTGGCCTCAAATCCTCCGCCCGGCAGCCTCTGCCTGGGGACACTGTAACCTGGGAGCCGCACAGGAGCCATCCCTTCCCCTGGCCTCGGCTCGGTCCCCCTGGATGCTGAGCTGTGCCCAGAGAGAACGGCCTGTGCCTCGTGACTGGGCTGAGGGAAATGGTGGTCACAGAGCACTGCAACCTTCAGGGGTATCTGAGAGCCCAGCTCCTCCTGGGCCTCTACTGGTGCTGGTGCTGGTGCAGGTGCTGGTGCTGGTGCAGGTGCAGGTGCTGGTGCTGGTTTGGGTGTGGGTTCGGGTACAACGCTGGTGTCCTCCCTTCACCTAACGCAGTGCCTCACACTCCCTGGCACAGCTGCCTCTTGGACACCATAGCAACTCCTGGCTCCAGTCTCTTTCCATCTCGGCCAACAGCAGACGGTTACAGAGCAAAACTCCTTACTTATCGCAGCCATGCACCCAACACACGCCTGCAGACACAAAGCTCTGCAGAGTGTCCAGTCTGACCTCAGGCTACAGAGAACCCCAAACACTCAGCACGCAGTGTCAGGCTCCAGCCACGAGGGGCACGGCCTCCCAGGCCACAGAGGCTCCGGTGTCCCCAAGGGCGCTCGGAGGAGGACTGCGAGGGGGCTCCCAGGTGGGGGTGTGGTATGCAGAGCTTTCAGGGCGGGAGGCGTGGGAATGTTCTGGAACTTCAGTTGTCCGGTCTGGAGAGCACAGGTGGGAAGGGCAGGGATGGCAGACACATGTGGTTGGTGGCAGGGAGGATGCAGACTGGGAGCCACGGCAGAGCCGGGAAGGGCACGCGGGACCAGACCTGTCTTTGATGGATGAAGCAGTTGTGAGAATAAGAACCCATTAAGTAGGGACTCTGAGGCTGGGGCTGGTTAGAACATTCTAGCAGACAGGCCTAAATGAAGTAGCAATGAGTAGAAAGACAGGAAAGGACTGGAGAGTCAGACTGCAGATTTGGGCCTGACAGGGATACGCTGGGTCAGTCAGTGCAGAAGGAGCTGGGCCCTCGGGCGGAAAGGACAGTCCCGTCCCATGCACTGACTCGCCATGGCTCTGAGGGCTCCACCGGGCCTGAGCCACACCTGTTGGTTTTCCATCTGCCCCACCCTGGTCACCTGGAGGCCCAGGTCTCCATCCATGGCGGGGAGGGGGGGAGTAAGAACCAGGGAGGGGAGGGGAATACTCCAGAGCCCAAATGAGCACAAGTGTTGTCAAGAGACAATCACAGAATGCGTGTGACATGCGCACTGAGCAGGCCTCACCTGCAGAGCACATGCCACAGGAATGCTCGCAGGCAAATGCAGCTGTTACTTCTCCCTGGGCCCCTAACACAGGGAAGTAAGCCAGACAGGATGGCCTGTCTGTGGCGCTACCCCAAGTTCAGGCCTGGAAGGTCTCCCTCCTCTTGCCTACACGCCTCTGCCTGAGGGAAGCCAGTAAGCAGGCATGTCCCTGTCCAGGCAGAGGAGTGGCACTCACACTGGCTTTTTGGGGGCAGCACTGCAAAGCCAAGGTCTAAGGAGCTCTGAGGACAAGGGGGCATGTCCGTCCCGCCGGGCGTTTGCCGTGGTCCCAGCCCAGCCATGCCAACATGGCCTGGGGGCTCCATGGTGATTTCCTCTCTTCCTTCCACGAGTCGCCGTCAGCAGTCACATGATGGACAGCTGTGACCATCCTAACTAGCTGGTTCCTATCACAAATGGGAAGAAGGCAAAAGGGAGCCAGACATCGTCAGCATGGCTATCTGGCAGCTTCACCAGGGAGCTGCAACTTCACACACCCTCATCCGTCCGTCCGTCCCCTGCAGATCCCTGCGGGAAGGGGGCCAGTGAAGGGAAAGGGATGCATGAACAGTGAGGTCCCGGTGACACAGGACAGGAGCTTGCCTGTCAGTCTAACCTGAGAAAAGATAACTGGCTAGAGGGGGTAGCCTGAAGGATTCACTGGAGGAGCTCCCAGTCACAATCCACAGCAAAGGAACCCTCTCTCCCGTGTTTCTCTGGCTTCGCTCCTGCTTCCTTGAACCGAACTAGCCTTCCTGGCACGGTGCAATGCCTGGCATATGGCCCCGAACCCCACAGGCAATGGCCTGCAGCTGGAACACAAGCTGAGCCAGCCAATGCGGGACCAGACTTGCATGTGGACTTCCTCCGTGGCAGAGGGAGGTGGGCCTCGGTGGGGAACTCCCGAACGTGACAGCACCAGGAAAGCGCCCACCCCTCCCCCTCCGTGGAGGCCTCAGGAATTCTTGTGGAAGTTTAAGAGCTCCACTCCCATCAGCAATGTGGGGACACAGAGGACACCCCAGCAACAACATGGCTCTCGCCATGGCCCGAGGGGGCCCAGGGGATTACTCCCCCACCCCATAGCACCAGGCGGAGTGCTATGTTCTGAACACATCCTGCTTGGATACTCCCTACATTTTTAAAAAATATATATTTTTATTGATTTCAGAGAGGAAGGCAGTGGGAGGGAAACATCAATGATGAGAGAGAATCATTGATCTGCTGCCTCCTGCACGCCCCCACACTGGGGATCAAGCCCAAAACACAGTGCTCTGACCAGGAATCAAACTGTGATCTCCTGGTTAATGGGTCGACACTCAACCACTGAGCCACACCGGCTGGGCTGCTCCCTACATTCTTTAGTCCACCTTGGTGGTGGTAACTTCTATTTGCTCCTTATCTGATTCCATGAATGCAGGCTGGGATAAGCAGAACTGAGGGCATAGCTCCAAGAACCCTACAAAATACCCCATTTCCAAACCTACAGACAGCAATGATAGGGTTAACAAAGCGCAGTCTGGGAAGGGGCAGAGACAAGGAGCCAACTTCCCCAAAGGAAAGCCTGAGGCTGGTCCCTCCTGAGGTCAGGTTCCTGCCTGAAACAAGGCCAGATGCTCGCCCCTTTCTGGGGATCAGGCCCACAACCTGTGCATGTGCCCTTGACCAGAATCGAACCCTGGACCCTTCAGTCCTCGGCTCTATCCACCGAGCCAAACCAGCTAGAGGAATGTCACTTTCAAAACTGTGTAACTTTGAAAGCTGTCCATAACTTGAATACTAAGCAAGTCAAAAGGCATTTTACAGCCGGCACTGGGCATGATGCTAAATGCGTGCTTTTGCCCGGTGAATCCGGTCATGTGGGCCCGTCTTTGAGTCTGTCTGCTCCTGAGAGAAGCAGGCTGTCCGCCCGCTCCCTCCGCACCACGAAGCAGGTGTTGGAAAAGAATCCCTCCCCGGACTCCCCAGTCAGCTTCCACTGTTAATCGCCCAGAATGATCTCCTTTGAGGACAATTAATTCCGGAGGATTCCTGCCACAGGGAAACCACAATCCGCAGGGAAACGCACAGGTGCCGTAAACAAGGCCCAGAAACCTCCCTGCGGCCGCGGGGGGACGGGCATGCACCCCGGGAGGCGCTCTAACCCAGGCCTGGGCGCTGGCACCCAGGCCGCCAGCCACCCACCCGAGGGCCCGAGCCAGGCTCCCCTCTGGCCCCCTTCCAGGCCCCCTCCCCCTCCTCCCCTCCCCCTCCCGGCCCCGCTCCGCCTCCCCCTCTTCCCGCAAGTCTCCTCCCGGCTGAGGAGCCCGGGGCTCAGCCTGGAGAACTGCGGCGATTCCAGGTTCACTCAGTGACTCCCGCAAACAGGAACACGGCAAGACCCCTCCGGGCGGGGCTTGTGTCCCCTCCGACCTCGGCCCGCGGTGCCAGGGGCCTGTTCCCCACGGCCCGGCCGCCGCGGCAGTCAGTCCCGGGCGGGAAGGATGGACCCAGGCCCCTCCTCCGGGCCCCCCTCCGGGCCCGCGCCGCCGGCCGGGCAGCACCCGCGGCCTCCCGCCGAGCACCCCGGCCTTCCCCTCAAACCCTGCCTCCCGGGCGCCGGGGCTGCGCGCATTGCGGCTCTGGGCTGGGGAAAGGCGGGCTCTCCGGGCGGGGCATCCGGGCTCCCGGGAACCGCTCCGGCCTCCCTGGGAACCTGCGCGCAAACTCTGGACCCACCCGATCGGGGCTCCTGACTGCGGGACAGGAGGGCGGAGTGCGGGGGGGGGGGGTCAGGGGAGAGGGGCGCGAGGAGAGGGGCGCGGGGGCTCCGGGGAGAGGGGCGCGGGGGCTCCGGGGAGAGGGGCGCGGGGGTTCCGGGGAGAGGGGCGCGAGGAGAGGGGCGCGGGGGCTCCGGGGAGAGGGGCGCGGGGGCTCCGGGGAGAGGGGCGCGGGGGGTTCCGGGGAGAGGGGCGCGGGGGGCTCCGGGGAGAGGGGCGCGGGGGGCTCCGGGGAGAGGGGCGCGGGGGGTTCCGGGGAGAGGGACGCCGGGGGCTCCGGGGAGAGGGGCGCCGGGGCTCCGGGGAGAGGGGCGCGGGGGGTTCCGGGGAGAGGGGCGCCGGGGGCTCCGGGGAGAGGGGCGCCGGGGCTCCGGGGAGAGGGGCGCGGGGGCTCCGGGGAGAGGGGCGCGGGGGCTCCGGGGAGAGGGGCGCGGGGGCTCCGGGGAGAGGGGCGCGGGGCACGGGATCCCCGCCGGCACTCACTGACGGAAGGGGTCGTGGAAGGGGATCGCTAGCCAGGAGCCCGGCAGCGGGCGCAGGAAGGCCTCCATGTCCCGGGCGCTGCGGTCGGCGGACACGAGCACCACGGCCAGGGGCGCCGGCGGGCGCGCCCGCTCCACCAGCTCCGCGTAGAAGCGGCGCAGCAGCGGCGTGAAGTCCCGGCTGAGCGCGCACCGGCCGGAGGCGAAGTACAGCGCCACCAGCTTGTCCCGCAGGAAGGCCTCCGCCTCCTCCGCCTCCACCTCCGCCTCCATCCCCCCGCCGCCCGCCGCCGCCAGCCGCCGGCCCCGCAGCACGTCCGCCATGGCTGCGGGGGCGGCGGAGAGCGGGCCTGCGGGGGAGACGGCGGGAACTCAGGCTCCCGCGGCGCCGCCAGCAGCGAGTTGCCCGTGAGCTCTAGCGCAGTCCGCCCCGCCCCGCCGCCCGCCCCGCCCCCCCCGCCCCCGCCGCCCGCCCCGCCCCCGCCGCCCGCCCCGCCCCCCCCGCCCCGCCCCGCCCCCTCCGCCCGCACCGCCCCCCCCGCACCGCACCGCCCCCTCCGCCCCGCACCGCCCCCCCCGCACCGCACCGCACCGCAGGGGACCGCACCGCACCGCAGTCTCACCTCTCCTCTCCCTCCCTCTTCCCCCCTCCTCCTCGCGCACCCTCCTTCCCCGCCCGCCCGCCCGGAGGGTCTGTCTGGAGGGGAAAGGCAGGTGGGGGCGGGGGGGATCCGCACCCATTCTCTCCCGGATTGCCAGGACACCCTGCGCCTGGCCTTGAGGGAGCTGCTGCTTCTTTTTAATCTCTACTTATATTTAATTGTTTGTTATGGAAATGTTCACATATAAAAGTAGAAATAGTGTAAGCAAGCCCGATGTTCCCGTTAGTCCAGCGTCCACAGAAAAGCAGGTGTTAGTGCCCGAGCGGCCAGTCCCGCTTCCTGCTGGGTGGAGGGACACGCTGGGCCCAGAATGTAAGGAGCCATTAACTGGGTGATGAAGAAAAATATTAGTTTTATTTTATCCTCGCCCAAGGATTTTTTGTTGATTTTTCAGAGAGGAAGGAGAAGGGAGAAACAGAGAGAGGGTGAGAGAGAAGCGGATTGGTTGCCTCTCACACGCCCAGACGGGATCCAGGCCGCAGTTCAGTGTTTGGGAGGATGCTCTAACCAACTGAGCCCCCAGCCAGGGTACGAATGCAATATTTTAAAACCTCAAAATTGCCCTAGCCGGTTCTGCTCAGTGGATAGAGCGTTGACCTGAGCACTGAAGGGTCTGGAGTTTGATTCCTGACAAGGGCACATTCACAAGCCCATGTGGAGTGTGCCGGAGGCAGCCAATCAATGATTCTGTCTCATCATTGATGTTTCTATCTCTCTCTCCCCCTCCCTTCCTCTCTGAAATAAATAAAAATATATTTTAAAAAATAAAAACTCAAAACTAATGCCCAAAAGTTCAAGATGAACAAAACATCAAACATGGAAATAAAACAGTATGACCCCCTGCTCTCAGACTCAGAGGGCAGGTACCTCCCCGTCTGCACCCTCCCTCTCCCTCCCCCAATCCCCCCACCCCCTCCACACACACACACACACACACACACACACACACACACACTCTGGAGAGGGAGGGGTAGGGCTGGGGAGGGGGGAAGGTAGACGCCTGGAAGCAAGGCTGTCCTCTCCAGCACCATGACACTGACACGTTGGGACACTGTGCACGTGGCAGAGCCGGGGCTGCGTGCCCATTCCGCTGCCGGACGGATGGCCCATGAGGAGCACTACCACAGCCCCGTTCACTGTCGTCTCAGAGGAGTAGGGATTTACAGGCAAACCTCAACTCTTCAAAGTCTCCCATCTCCAAGTTGCTTCTCAACAAAGTTGTTCACGGAAAATGTCTCAGTTGTCAAACAAAACCAGTTCTTGGCCCAACAGTCCTTTTGTGCTGATACCTGTACGGTCAGATCCATGTCTCTCAGGTGTGAGTACCGGTCAGTTCACACTAAACCTCCATTTGTTAACATCTCAGGAAACTGTGCTGTGAATATTTTTTGCTTTTGTTAATACTGATTATTGTTGTTGTTGTTATTAAGCTAGAGGCCTGGTGCACGAAATTCGTGCATGGGGGAGGAGGGGTCCCTCAGCCCAGTCTATACCCTCTTTCAATCCAGGAACTCTTGGGGGATGTCCACAGGATCAGGCCTAACCCAGCAGTCTGACATCCCACTTGCAATCCAGGACCACTGGCTCCTAGTTGTTTGCTTGCCTGCCTGCCTGCCTGCCTGCCTGATCACCCCTAACCACTCACCTGCCTGCCTCATCACCTTTGACCACTCTGCCTGCCTGCCTGCCCCTAACCCCTCTGCCTGCCCGCCTGGTCGCCGCTAACTGCTCACCTGCCTGCCTGATCCTCCCTAACCATCTCTGCCTTGATCCCTGCTGCTGCAGCTTCATCTGGAAGGACATCCGGAATGATCTCTGGAAGGTCGTTCGGCTGTCTGGACTAATTAGCATATTATACTTTTATTATTATAGATATATACAATAAGTCCCTATGATTTCTAAGGTAATAGCAACAAAGTGAAAAGGAAAGTTGTGAGAACAATAGAGCTTAAAAAAGAAGTAATTGCTAAGTATGATAGAGATGTTTGAGTGTCTGATCTGGCTACCGAGTATGGCGTGGCGAAGTCAGTGATGAGCACCCTTTTAGAACATAAAGGGGCCATCCAGGATGCTGATGGTGCTAAGGCTGTGAACGTGTTCACCGAACAATCACAGGCAATATAGAGGCAGGAAACTTGCTGATGTGGATAAAGGGAAAGCAGCAGGGAACAGCATTTCGGAGGCAGTGATGTGTGGAAAGCAAAGACACTGTGGCCTGACAGCCTGACCCTGGACAAGGCTGCCCCGCATTAAGCCTGGGTAAATGCAAGGGGAGCGTGGCCTCCTCGGTGCGTGGCTGCGGCCTCGGACAAAGCAGGTGAGGATAATTGCGGGACAGAATTTCAACAATCTGGAGCGGCAGGGGACCTGTTCCCCAAGGAGTGCTCATTGTGATGAGACAGCCTCTCGGGAGAACATGCCCACGAGGACCTGCATCCCACGGAGGCTCATTGCTGGACACGAGCCAAGGAGAACAGGCGGTATGGCTGAGTGTGGGAGGGAGTGCGACTTTTAGTTGAAGCATCTCCTGAAAACCCTCTCATTTTCAAGAAAAACAATGTCATAAAAAACAAGTTGAATGCAATAGGGAGGTCTCATAGCACAGCTTGGGTAAACAGGCAGTTTTTACTGAGTGGATTCATGAAGTGTTTGCCCCGCGTGCAAAGAAACACCCCGGGAACACAGTGCCACTCAGGGCCTTCCTGTCCGGGACGGGCCCGCGAGCTCAGCCTCCTCTGCCCGGTCCTTGCCACCTGCGAACGCCTCCCCACCCACGGCCCAGCAGGTCGTTTCTACTCCACACAAAGGTCTTGTTTCAGAGGTGGTTTTCTTTTTATTCTCCTCGCCCAATATATTATCGAATATTCGCTATTCAATAAAAATTGATGTGTTTTTATTGAGTTTTAGAGAGAGAGGAAGGGGGAAGAAAGAGAAACATCAATGTGAGAGAAACATGCACACACCCTGGGTATGTGCCCTGACTGGGAATCAAACCCAAGTCCTTTGGTGTTTAGGATAACACTCCAACCAACTGAGCCATCAGCCAGGGCAGAGGTGTTTTGAGGTGACCTGTGAGGCCAAGGCAAACTCATCAGTCAACAGAGCCAAATATCAAAAATATAACGATTGAAATTTCTTTTGAGAGCCAAAAACCGACTTTTGTGCATGGGCCACAAAGTTTTAATCGCACTGTACATGCATGCCTGCACGTGGTATTTTGTGGAAGAGCCACACTCAAGGGGCCAAAGAGCTGCATGTGGCTCGCGAGCCAAACTTTGTCAATCATTGCTCTAGACACTAGAGCAAAGTGAGCCTGGAGCAAGTTACTGTTGCGGGTGGGGGATGGAGGGAAAGCAAAGGTGAGAGATATAAGTAAAGTCAGTGTCGAGGAAAAATTAGAGGGAAGCTATCCTGCAACTTCTAGGAAATCTCCACCAATGGAGCAAGCACCTCTGTCTGGTAGAAAGCCGTCCCCTAGTTCCTGCCCTAATGCCAGACAATCCAGTTCCTCCCCATATGTGTCTGGGTCCCCTAATGCCTCCTGGTTCTGGAGCTCAAAGGAAGTGAGTCCAAGTAAGTTTGTGCACTGGCCCTTTAAGAGGGACCCCTGGGTCTCCAACAGCTTCTGTGTTCCTCAGCCACAATCTCCCTTGGTTTTCACAGCCCAAAGTTATGGGGACTTCTCTTCCCAGCTCTGGGACCCTGGGTGGGGGGTCTGGTGTGGGCCCAGGACCCCTTGCTCTTCACAGCACACTCTACAGGGACGAGCTTCCTCTGGATTAAAAAAATGGTGCATGTGGGTGTTGGACCAGCCATTCCACACCTCCACCCCTCCTACCAATCTCAGTGTGCTTTCTTCTTTGCTTATCTACTTATAGGACTTCTATTCAGCCAGCTTTCAGGCAGTTCTGAATGATGGATGTCCTGTATTTTGTTGAAATTTTGATGTGGATTGTGGGAGGGAGAGAGTACCAGCATTTACCTAGGCTGCAATCTTGGTTCCTTCTCCCTATCAGCTTTTCAATAAGAGTATTCACTCCTGTTGATCTTCTGGTTCCCACCAGTTATTTTCCTAAAAAGAGAATCTTTTACAGTTGCAGCCCTGACACTATTCCCCAGCATTTGACCCAGAGCAGAGAGATGCATACCACTTGTAGATCACAGTCGGCCTCATTCAAACTAATGTCAACACACTGACACCTGGATCCTGGTCTAGCCCCTCCCACCTCCCTTACCCCACAAAAGAACAACAGTGCCACCAGGGAGCTTGTCAGAAACAGAAGCTCTTAGGCACTCAGAATCACAAAACTCTCCCTCCTCTCTTTTTAAAATTTAGGTCTCATATCAAGATTCTCCTCCAGCTTTAGTAAGGTATAATTTATATAGGTACTAGAGGTCAGTGCACATATTCGTGCATGGGTGGGGTCCCTCAGGGTGGCTTGCAGGGATTAGGCTGAAACCTGCAGCACAATGCTGCCTGCCACTCCTGCCTGCCTGCTCCCACTCCCACTCATCCCGACCCTGCTACACCTGCCATGGGCTCGTGCCTGCAGCAGTGCTTGCTAGTCATGAGCCCTGTGCCTGACGCCCAACTTTAGGGCGATAAGGGAG